AAATATCTACGTGGTTAATACATTAGGTCCATATGTTAGAGTTAATGAAGGAAGTGAAATAGGCCCACCTTTGAGGATGGAATTAGCATGCATACTACGGTGATTCGGAAAGTTGAAAGGATTCTTTTCTTATGGTTGCCCATATTGGAGTTCAAAGGGCTAACAATTGCCAATTTTTGTTAGGATTGAAACTGTATTCATAGTTTAAAGTATTGATGCGATACGCCATATCGTATCATATCTTTAGAAAAAGATACAGTCCGAAACACTTATTTTCAGGACCCCCAACTTTTTTTAATAATAAAAAACATGTTTTAAGATTCCCAAAAAATCAAAATTTGAAAAAAAAAACTGAAAAAAGGTGTTTCGACCGTTGATAAGTATCGATATATGTATTGTATCGATACTTTCAACCTTGACTGTACCATCTTTGATTCTGTTTTTGATGTATGATGTACAAACTGTTGTATATGCATCACAAAAATATATGACCATATTACAATTTTGTAAATGGGTTTTCCCTTCATGTTTACTGATACAATCAATATCCTTATAAGGAGAGAGAACTTTGAAGCCAAAGATTAATCATTATTTGTATTTCTATTATCCAAACATAATGTTTATGATTTGTTTCTACTTTCTAATAAATGGTTTATTTTTGTATCAAAATAAAGATTTAAATTACCCAAACTCTAGCTTCTCCTATTTCTGAAGAATGTGATTTCTCTCATACATGGATCTGAATGAGAACATCAAGCTTTACTCATCTTTAGGACTGCCGCTAAAGATGCCCTTGACTGTCGCCAAAAATCATGTGCCAAACTTGTAGCGGCAATCACGACTGCTGCTTAAAGTATTTATAGCAATAGTTTTTGTTTGTACCAGCAGACTACCACTAAAGATGTCCTTGATTGTCGCTAAAAATCATGTGTCCAATTTATAGTGGCAGTCGTGGCTGCCGCTAAAAGTATTAATAACGGCAGTTTTTTGTTTGTATCGGTAGCCGAGAAAATTGCCGCTAGAACTTCTAGCAACACATCTTTTAATGGCAGTTTTTTTACTACTGGTAAAGTTTCTAGAGGCAATTTTGGGGACCTTTAGTAGCAGTTTTGGGGACTTTTAACTGCCGCCAAAAGTCATTTTTCCTGTAGTTGCTTTAAGCTTGTTACTTTGGTGATCAAAAAGATGAGCAAAACATACACATCTAAAAAATACGAAGTGGTAAAACAAACAAGGGAATCTTATTTTGAAGAACTAATGAGGTCATTCTATTGATGAGATAACAAGTGGTAAGAATAGCATTACTCCAATAAATCTTTGGCACATTCATCTAAATAAGGCAAGTCTGTGTAACTTCTAGCAAATAGTGGTTTTTGCATTCAGCCACACTGTTTTATTGTGGTGTATCAACACAATAACTCTGGATGTATGATTCCATGCTCATTGTAAAATTTAGTAAATGATGAAGCCATGTATTCTTTAGCATTGTCAGATTGAATAACACGAATAGTAGAGCCAAAGTGGGTTTTTATAGATTTGAATACAGAAAATAAACCGGACCTCTCCTTTAACAAAAATAACTAAGTAACTCTTGAAAAGTCATCAACAAAAGTAACAAAGTACTTGAACCCCAAATAAGACACTATAGGACACTGACCTCAAACATCTGAATGAACTAACTAAAATGTTTTAGACACATGACTCATAACTTGAGTCACATGTCCTAGACATAAGGTTAAAAGAAAAGTAAGTACATAAAGAATAGATGATAAAGACAATTGGGATGTTGGGTTCACATGTCCTATGCTAGATACCAAAGATTTATATCCATTAGTAAGAGTAACATGTTGGACAAAAGATGCCAAAGGATTTAATTAAGAAAACATAGATGAAGTACCTGACATGTGATCAATAACTCTTAAGTCAATGACCCATGGAGATGGTGAGGAGGTAGAAAGAAGATAGGTGGAGCCAATACATGATGTCTGGGCAATAATAGCAATTGAGGAAAATGACGCTACAACCAATTGATGATCTCTCCATCCGGATGATTGTTTGTAGCAGCTATCTATGGTTGGGATTGTAACACATCATCTGGACAAATAACTTGGTTAGCATAATTTCATGGTTTCTTCAATAGATGACAATACTTCATAGTATGTCCCTCACGATGACAATGTAAGCAAAAATGAACTTCACACAAATCTCTACAATAGTTAATAGTGTGTCCTTCTAACCCACAATGACTATAAAACCTAGTATTACCATTCCTGCCTCATCCATGATCACAACCTAAAAATCCCAGAGGGCCATGACGACCACTTCCACAACCTCCTCTGTGGGTACCACAACCCCATCTATTATTTCCAAATACAACCAATGTTGCTCGATCAAATGTTTGGATGGGTTCAGATAATTTGGCCCTCTATAGTTGAGAAAACGTATACTCCATGTAAGGTAATTTTGGATTGCCTAATGTTTGGGCTCTCACTAATTCATATTCATGTTTAATTCCCAAAGAAATTTAGCCACATACAACTCCTTTCTTTGCTTTTCCATAACAGTTGCATCACTCGTAACAAGATGGTATATATTAAGCTCCTCACAAATGCTGACAATATCCAAGTAGTAAGTAATCTTCAAGAGACTTATCTCCCAGTTGTAAATTGAATAATGATTGGAATAACTGATAAGTTCTAGTAATATTATTACGACCAGAGTATATCCTCTTTACTTGTCCCCAAATCTTCTTTAAAGTTTCGAGAAATATAAGGGTACTACTAATTTTTGTCTTCATAGAGTTCCACAACCATGTTTTAATTTGTACATATTCTTGTAACCACTCTAAGTACTTAAAATTATCAATCCTAAGTTTGTTATCAGTGAAGTACTTTAATTTCCCAACAACTGTAAGGGAAACTTCAACTGATTTTGCCCAAATGGCATAGTTTCCACTACCATTCAACATAATGGTGGTCAACATAAAGGTTGTAGAGGTCATAATACTTGATTCACCTCCACTGAACTTCACTATCCTCACATAAAATGAAATCACAAATGGATTTTACTAACCTGATCATATTCACAATTCACACACACATCTATCACGTCACTAAAAATCCCTTCACAATTTTAGTTTCATCAGGAAATCAGTCTCATCACAGATTCATGAGAAATCTTCACTTCACAATACTAAATAAACTCAATTATCACCTTCCCCTCTTGGTTTTGATCCATTAAAGGGTTACAAACAATCACTGATCACCTATCACAACATCTGTGATGGTTAGAACCATCACTAATCGCCTAGAAATTCTGTTGAACCTAGTTCAATCCATTATAACAAGCAAGCTATGACAGTCTTCTAGAAGAAACCCTAATCACATCGATGTTAAGGATGAGCCCTAATCTGATCTTACTTTCGTTATATGCTCTGATACCATGTGAAAAGTGGTACAATAGAGCTACAATGGAGTTCGAATCAGAAAAGAAAGAAAGAAAGAAGAAAGAAAGAGAGAAGAGAGGAGAAGAGAGAAACAAGAAAAGTGTCGCTCTACTTTAGAGAAGGATTAGATTTCATAGTCCTCTCTTAGCAGTCGGCTCAACTTTTACATTAAAAATAAAGAGATGTTGAATTATATATATGCCCTTGTGTTCAAAACATAAAATAAAGACTTCTCTGTCATGCCACCTAATAAACCTGAAAAGACTTCTTTTAACACACCAGAAGTTGAATTATATATATGCCCTTGTGTTCAAAACATAAAATAAATAGACTTCTCTGTCATGCCACCTAATAAACCTGAAAAGACTTCTTTTAACACACCAGAAGTCGGCTCAACTTTTACATTAAAAATAAAGAGATGTTGAATCAAAACATAGAATAAATAGACTTCTCTGTCATACCACCTAATAAACCTGAAAAGACTTCTTTTAACACACCAGAAGTCCCTCTAGGCACCACCTCTCCTCTATAGCCAAGGAATTACTCTACTAAGCTGAACTTTGACCTCAAGGAGATAGGAGTGTTCAAAACATAAAATAAAAAGACTTCTCAGTCATGCCACCAAATAAACCCGAAAAGACTTCTTTTAACACACCAGAAGTCCCTCTAGGCTCCACAACCACAAGCTCAGTAAATCCTCTCCTCTAGCCAAGGAATTACTCTACTAAGCTGAACTTTGACCTCAAGGAGATAGATTCGAATTCTTTTAAGGATCAAAATAATGCAATGTATTGATATGTATGAACTGATACATGTCGGTTTTTAGGGCTACCCACACTCTAAATACAAGGAGTTGGGACATTTGGCCACTTTGGATGACAATACCCTCCCTAGAGATGTCGTAGTTCAATTCTTGAGACATAACTACCTTTTAATATGTGTATCATCCATTTGAAGTTTGAACCACGCGATATACAATTTTTGTATATTGCATGTATTGGTACTTTAAAGTTTGTTACTTTTGATATGCATCCCTCGGAAATTAATGTGTTGGACAAAGATAACTGAAATCTTCTTATTCAATGAAATGATTAATTAAAATGTTTTAACTTCATCATTGGCAACTAAGAAGGTATTCTTTTTTTCGGATTTGGAGAGGGGGAAAGTTGGTCAATGGGATTTTGGTTCCCATCGACCAAGAATCGCATGTTCTTTTTTCAGCTTTGTGTAGGGAACAGGAAAATTTTATTTTCCTGGGTATCACTTACCCAGGAAAGTGATACCTATCTCCTAGGTGGGTAAATAACTTTCCCACATAGGGAGAAAGTTACCAACAGTTGAATGGGACAAAAATGTCCCTTTCAACAATGAATTTCTATGGCTAAAATGATCATTGCTTTATTTACCTGAGAAATAAAAGAACATAGGTAAATGCACTTACCTGGGTAAGTGTTTCCTAGGAAAAACTTACCTAGGTAATTGCATTTACCTGGGTAAATAACTTACCGAAAAGCGAATGGGGCCTAAAATCATACTATAACATGATAGATACCAATCAAATGGAAACCTACAAATCAATTTTTCTTATTTAAATATCAAAGTGAAGCAAATAAATAAATAAATTACTGTCACTAGAGCCTACGATGTTAATACCTAAGACAAACCCCCTTACAAGTAATTGGGTTTGTACAACAAAAGGAAACAAATTGATCTACAGACTGGAGAAAATGAAAAACAAAATGAAATAGAAGGAAAATAAAAAGACATTACACGACAAAAATTCTAGAAATACTGGTACTCATACGAGAAGGCAAAAGAACATACAAACACATTGACTCAAGGAAAAGAAAACTCAATAAATGACCATAAAAACTTGGCCTGCACAAGCAAACAAAGATTCTCCAGCTGTCAATTGAATTGCCAAATTGGGCCCAGAAATCAGAAATGTAGTCAACTTCATCTCCTAGTATGTACAGCAAAATTGCAGATTTTGAGCACCAATTTCTGTTTGGAAGCCTTCAATGATCTATAATTTGTTAGGCATAAAACCACCAAGAAGTCGTTTAAGAGAAATAGTCTTGCTTGAAAATTGTAACAAAATCAAGGGATGACCCATCTTCATCTTTCTGCTTCCACAACTCTCCATTGCCTTGGATATGCCATAATATTTTAGGTGAAAGTGGTGAATACAGATCTGTATGTTTCACCAAAAAGATGTAAAACCAATCTTTGATGAGTAAAATGTTAGTAGTTAAAATAATGAACAAGGAAGAAATAACAGCTAAAATTCACCATTTGACCATTCTCATTACAATGACTTTCTGCTACTAAACAAACCAAGGTTATTAAAAAAATGAATAAGAAAGAGATAGCAGGAATAAGTGAAGCATGAGAGGGCAGCATTTGGGTGCAGTAAAGGCTGGCATCAACTCAACCCCAATGGATTTAACTTATTTCAAACCAAACCTGATCCTCCCCATTTTGGAGCACTTTTGCTCTCTTTGGATTCAGATGGGTTCCACCTCAGAATGCTGCTAGCTTATTCAGTTCACAGGTAGTGGTTCAACCAAAAAGAAGATGAAAGATGATATGGAGAGCCACCAGAGCAGGCTGTTAAAGGAAAGGAACAACAGGCTGAGCAATGCAGGACATTAGAGGTTGTAATTGAAAGCATCATGTGAAGGCAATACACTGGACCAAGATGATGGACAATTTTAAGTGCTTTTCAGTAGATGAGTTAATGAGAAATTGGTGAGCAGTGGCAGATGACTCCACTTTAAGATTAGGCTTCAACATCAGTGGATCCCCCCCAAAAAGTAACAGGATAAAGTTGAACTTTGATGAAAGCTCTCTTGGCAATCCAGGCCCTTCTAGTATTGGAGGAGCCTCTAGGGATGGTTATGGGATAATAGTGACTCTTCTCTGGCCCAATTTGAATTGGAAACTCACTAAGAACAGAAGTGTCAGCTCTCCTGCGCTCACTAAGACTTGCTAAGCAGTTGAAGGTGAAAGGGGACTTTATGCTGGTATTGAGGTGGCTTAACAAAAACAGTCAAGGAATCTGGAAATACAGGTAGATTTTATTGTAAATTAAGGCATTATCAAGAAAAGTAGTGGCTTCATTCAAATGGATCAGCAGATCAGCAAATGGCTTGGCAGATTCACTAGCCAAGCAGGGGGTTTATAGGGAACAATTGTTTCAAGCTTTGCTTGTAAGACTAAGATGTAAAGGGCTTAGAAACATTCAAAACTGAAAATTGTACTCCTCTTTTTCATTTTAATCAAATAAAAGTCACTCCTGTCATTGATCAAAAAAAGAAAATAAAATAAAACCTGACCCTCCCCATAAATGAGATAGAGAAGAGCAGGGCAGCTATTAGAGTGATATAGGAAAAAAATAATGGCATTAATGGAGAGAGAGAGAGAGAGAGAGATGGGGCTCAAATGTTGAGCGTTAAACATGATTATAAGGATCCTCATGGGTCCAGAGGTTGCTTAAACTTGAAATGGAAATGGTTGTCACTATTTACTACGTCCAATCCTACCCCAAAAAGTTATGCTCAGGCACAACCTTAGGGTGAATATTCAGAAAATTGTCTCTCTTAACAGAGGTTGTTCTTGATATATATTTGGGTTTTATTTCTTTTTCCTTGTACCTGACAGTAGAGCTCAAGTGGTTTCCTCAGATTTTTAAGCAGTGTTTGAAAGGCATGGGAGGCATACACCTGGAGATGTGCCTCCAGGCAAGGCACCCCAAAACGCCCTGAGGCATATGCCAAAGGAATTGATGCCTCTGAGGCTACGCCTTAGTTGCAAGAGGCATATACCTCATGTACCTCATGCATGCCTCATACAAAAAGACAGAAAGAAAAAAAAAATAAAAGAAAAGAAAGGAAAAGAAAAGAAAAGAAAGGGAAAGAAAAAGAAAAAAGAGAAGAAAAAAGAAAAAGGGAAGGGAAGGAAAGGAAAGAGAAGGGGTAAGAAATGTCCCCCCTCCCCTTTCAGCTAGTGTTATGCATTTCGATACATACCTGTAACAGGGGGTGGATCTGGTTCTCTAGTACTATGCAATACTGTGGTCCCAGAAAGCACAGTGATAAATCCACAGATCTCTGATACCATTTTACTTGCACTCTGACCAGACCAATCCTAAAAGCAAGAAAAACAATATTAGTTTGAAACATGACATGCACAAATACATGTAATATGATTGCAGTATATAGATCCAATGAATACCTTAAACATTATAGCACTTGCAAAAATTGTGAGAGTTGTGAACATTGCATAGTAGATGGGAGAAACAATTGCAGCACTGAAGGTATCCAATGCCTGAAAACATACAAAAGATGGTCATGATGTATACAAAATGTTTTAATTCACATTTATGTTTGAAGAAAAGTGCTTATAGTAAAAGAATAATATGCATATTGCAGAAATAATAATTTGCATCTTACATACCAAGAGTGAGTTATTTGTTTCTAATCTAAACAGTTAAAAGAAGAAACATGACTTTAAGAAGATATAACTAGGACAAATCAATCAGGATTCAAAAATGTGACAGATTAAAAATGACAACATAATATTCTAAGCTTCATATTTCTTCATACTTTGGTGTTCTAAAAAACCAAGGAGTGCTATTGTATCAGACTTTTTACCATTCCCATTCCCTTCCTAAAAAATGGAATTTGGACTCCATAAAATAAGAATCTCAAACCAATTAACAGAAACCAATTAGATCATTCAAATACCTAATTATTTTAATGAAATTTTCTCACCAAGGCCGGTGTTATTCATTGAAGTGAGATTCACAGAGGCCTGAAATCCATTGTTTTTGCACAAATTAACAGAAAATATTTTTTCGCTTTTAATTAAAAGAAACCAATTAGGCCATTCAAATACCTAATTATTTTAGTAAAACTTTCTCTCAAGGATGTTTGTCATTAGAGTGAGTTTCATGGAAACCTGAAATTAGAAAAGGACAAGCTTGTAATTATGTGTTTTTTTCCTTTGTGATTTAATGTGTTTTCTAGCCATGAAACTTGTGATTTATCTTTGTTATTCTCCCCAAATTGGCTTGTCCAATACTCTAGAGTTGATTTGGATGAACAAGTCAGTCAACTTATAATTAGTAAACATATCTAAAGCATGAGAAGTTTAATATATGTGGCTCAATAGGACGCAAACCAGGCCTACACTAACCAAGGAACTATTTAGCTAAAATCTAGTTGTTTACTCTAGCCACAGCTGCTCAGACTTCTCTAGAAATATCTTTAGGAAAGGGCTGGGCATCCTGCATAAAGTTCTTGTTCAATGATATTGTGTTGGTAGCAGAGTAAACCACATGATGGAAAATCTCACTTGAAGTTTCAAGCATTTGATTGGTCAAATGTAGTGGCAAGATAATATGGTTCAAAAAGTAGGCAGTAGAAAAATCAAGAGTAGAAGAGGAGACTAGGAAACTATCTGTTCTAGGTCCTTAAGATCATTGTTATGTTCAGTAGAAGGAACTAATGTACTAGGGATAAAGGCTACAAATATAGGCGGATGGATTTTATGGGTCACAACTGTAGCATTTAGATGCAGTTCCAGTCATCCAGGAAGGTAGATATTGTAAGTTAGAGTCAAGGTTCAAAATTCCAACATGATATGATTGAGCATATCGCATTGTATCACCAAGTCTTGGATACCCCAAATAAGGGGTGTTTTAGATTTTTTGAGTGGTTTCAGGGGATGGGCATGCAAAACTGACACCCTGAAGCAATTTTTAAGAAAACTTGAAAAAAAAGAAGTTAGTAAGCATTGAAACACCCGATACACCTGTTCATGTGTATTTGGTGTATCAATACTTTGAACCTTCGTTAGAGTGTAGTAACAAATGAGACCAACTCTCCAGTAAAGGGTTAGGGAGGTAATATGATTCAGTTTTAATTAGTTGGTCACTTGGTTGCAGTGTTTTAAAAGGTGTGGGAGGCATACGCCTGGAGGCGCGCCTTCAGGCGAGGCGCTCCCAAAACGCCCTGAGGTGTATGCCAGAGGTGCTGACACCTCTGAGCCATATGCCATGCACATCTCATATAAAAAGACTGAAAAAAAAAAGAAAAAAGAAAAAAAGGAAAGGAAAGGAAAAGGAAAGAAAGGGAAGGGAAAGAAAAAGAAAGAAAGAGAAAAAAAAGAGAAAAGGAAAGGGAAGGGAAGAAAAGACAAGGGGAAAGAAAGTGTTGTGCATCTTTATTCTTCTTAATATAAAAGATTTTTATTAAAAATAAAGAAAAAATGAGATCCCCCCCTTCCTCTTCTTCCTCCTCCCCTTCCTCTTGGCCCCCCTCCTCTTAAGGAGGCTTACACCTCTTACGTTCTGAACTATGCCTCACTCCTCTAGGTAGTGGAACGCCTCGCGTCACGCCTCCGCTTTTTAAAACATTGCTTGGTTGATGTTCACCTGATTGCTCCAGCTGAGATTCTAGGAGGTTAGTTGAACCAAAAAGGTAAGTGGGTATTGAAATATAGCAGCAAAAAGAAATTGCTCAATATTGCATAACATTTTACAAATAAATCTAGACACTAAGATCAATATAGCAAAAGACAGTGTGGATGTATTAATGGGCAATGTTTTAGGTTACTCTCTATGTCATGGACTGCTAACATAAAATATAAACTTCTCCACCTTCACTTGAATGTACCAATCAAAGAGAAGCATTAGGAGGCAAAGAGTAGTTACTGACTGGGGAAAAATCAATTTATAAACTTCAACCAAATTAGCTGCAGTAAAACTAGTTTTTTCACATGTGAAATCAGGGTTTGAAGTAACACAAACTGAGAGAATGTGCAGGATTTTTTTTCATCTCATACAAGTCAATCGACAATTTTTTTATTGGTGATAATGAAATAATTTTACTATACAGAAAATAATTGTGCCAAGAACTCCTTCTAATAGGCTAGCTTTTTCTACCTAACCCATTTGTATTATGTGTTTATTTGCTATGTTATAATCAGTTCAAAGAAGAGTCCAAATTCTGAATCCTTGACATGAGTTGAGTCAATGAGTATGTACAATCCTTGGAGTAGCTTCACAGAAGTTGATAGGCCATAACATCAGCAGCTGGAAAGGACCCACTCATACTAAAATTGGACACAAGTTGGATAACCTTGATATTCTTAAACATAAAGGACCTGAAGTATGAAAATTGTGGATCATGAGTTCAAAATTTATTAAAGCAAAGTAATCTTTGAGCCTTAAGTAGCAGCTTCTTCAGTTAGGGATTCAAGCCACAGACTTCACTATGACTACAAGCTTAAAGATATATTCAAGTAGAAGATGACCTTTCCAAGCAAGGCATAAATCAAATTTGGTCATCCTAAAAAAACAATAACATCAAATAAAAAAATAGAGGAAATTGTAATAGTAATCGTTAAAGTTAGTCGACAGGGGCAAACCTGCCCTTTTTCTGTTTACTATATCTGTTTTACATAACTGGGGGCACAGTTGTAATTTTGACTGTCAATGAATGAAAATATATCCTGGGTTGACAGTCAAGGGAGTCAAGTTTCACTTTTCCATTTTTCTTCTACTACTGTTTCTTATTCTTTTCTTTCACTTTCTTACGTTAAAATATAGAAAGCAGTAAAGGACGTTCACTGTTCACACAACCCTTTTGTGTGCCCTAGGAATAGAACACTCTATTCATTGCAAGAAGAAAAAGGAAGACAAAAGGACTGTCCCTTAGGAAAAGAAGCTTTAATGCCTCAGATTATGTTGTTTGAAGTGCTGGTAGTGGAATTCTAAGTCTTCTCCTTGTCGCAGCCCTGGGAGAGATGACAGGTTGGTTGTGGATGTTGCGGCTGTCATATACTGTTATGTGGTGCTTAAATGGTGGTTTGTGGTGGTGGTGGTTTGGGGGTTAGTGTGTGAGGCTACCTTGGTGTTTACAAGTGAATGTGTGCTTATTTTTGGTTTTTTTCCTAAGCTGAAAGTAGTGTTACAGTAGCTGTATAACAGATGTTTGATAAATTGTTTTGGTGGTAAATTAGTAGTTTGTTTCCTTGATTCATGGCCTCATCAAGTGGTAGCTCTAAGCCTGCTTTTGTTATGCAATCAGACCTCATGAATTCTCAGTTAATCACAGTGAAACTTGATGGTACTAATTATATACCATGGGCCAAGTTGGTTGAGGTGTCACTCATTGGGAGTGCTAAATTGAAGTACATTAAGGAGGGTTCTTTGAAAAGAGGATCAAAAGGGTATAATGAATGGACAAGAGAATACCCAAATTATGACTTCCCTATGGATAGTATGGGGAATTATATTAGTGTGAATCTCATGTTTCTAGACACAGCAAAGGAGATTTAGGATCATGCCAAGCAGTGTTTCTAGACACTCCTTTGCCAATCTCATGTTTCTAGACACAGTAAAAGTGTAAACACTAAAACCTAAACAATTCCCCTCCCCCCCCCAAATTCGATTAGGCCCTATTTTGATTTTCAAATCTACCTCAGTCTCTCGACTCTCCCATGCCTTGCTCAGTCTGAATGAATGCTAACCCTATCACCCAGCTCCCCACTAGCCACTGGCCCACCAATGCCTCTTGCTGTTGCCCACTTGTCGCACCTATCGCCATTGACGAATTGCCTCCAATCGTAGCCACTACCATCAATGATTGCCTACCTGTCATAATACCAACAATAGCTATTAAGGAACTTAAGCGATTATCTCCTTGCTTGAAAAGGAAGAAGATAGAGAGATCCTTTACACTGGCCCACTCCTACCGCTTTCCACACTGTTATAGTATTATCCCCATCCACCGGGCACCAAAGGTTAATCTCATTTGCCCACAGGCCACAACTAGAGCCAAGCTTGCTATTGCCACGATTTTACAGATATTAGCATCTTTTTATCTTCTTTTTAGTTTGCAATTTCTTATAAAGATGGGTAAATCACTAAACCAGGAATATATCATGCATACATGAGAATTTGCATTAGTTTGGATTCATATCAGAACCAGAGTAAACAGCCGACTCCAAATCAATTCAAATCGAATCGAATAATTGACTAAGTCAAAATCAAACTCAAATTTGAGTTTTTGACATCCATCGGGTATCAATTTGAATTTGAATATTCAAATTCAAATTTGAGTCTTTCTTGATTTTATTTGAATTTGATCCATTTATAGGCCTAGTATTCTGGACAAGATAGTTGTTGAGGGCCCGGGAATAGGATCTCGTCACGGGTCGGTCCAAGGGGAAAACCTCCTGTTTTCCCTTGTTCCTTCCTGCTTGTGATGAACCTATCTTGGCGCCTTCGATGATTTGTCCAAGAGATAACCAACTCTCCT